TTTTGCGGTACGCGGACCTCTCACTGCTGTGGCCTCTCCCATTGCGGAGCACAGGCTCCGGACGCGCAGGCTCAGCGGCCATGGCTCACGGGCCCAGCCGCTCCACGGCATGTGGATCTTCCCGGACCAGGGCACGAACCCGTGTCCCCTGCATCGGCAGGCGGACTCTCAACCACTGCGCCACCAGGGAAGCCCCCCAAGCATATTTTTAATTCAAGTTATTTTCCTTCTTTCGTTTTTTTAAGGATAGCATTTCTTTTCCTGTTTTATAGATGCAGTAACTTCTCAAGTGTCGAGATAATGGAATTAAAAAGATATCTATTTTCTATAATATATTTACTTTGACAGCCCACTTTGTCTGATATTCTTTGCTCAGTGTTTGATGTTGCAAGTTTTTGAGGGGTGCGTAATGGGTGAGAATAGTTTGAATTACACATACCTCAAAAAAATGTCTGATGATTTTTGTTAATTTTCTTAATTTTTCCTGTGGTAAGTAGAATCATTTAAATTTGTTTCTTTGATCTCCAAATGCACCATTTTGAAATAGATTCTTAGGAAGTTCTTGATGATGATGGTGGTGATGTTTTTCTCTGAGAAGCAATTTTAAAGGCAATGTCAAAATAACCTTTGCTGCCACTGTTATTTTATGTGTGTGTGAGAAAAATCTTTATTTTGGTCAAATTGATGCATGTACATATGTGTTTACATCATATAATTCCACGTGTGTGTGTATATGTATCTTACATAGAGGTAATTCCATATGTACACACATGTATACACAGGAACAAATCAAAACAGCCAACAATTTTCTGTCACATACCTCTCTATTTGTGGTTGCTGCTCAACAGACAAATTGCACTTTAAGCCATTTTAGCTTTTCTCCCCCACATTATCTATTGACTTACTATGGAAAGTGAAGTTTAAACATGTGTGCTGTCCCCTTCTCCCCCCACCCCATGTTTTCCCTTCCCAGATCCTTATTACGTACAGTCCAAGCTTTACCTGAGTTGCAAAATTTCTCTCAATGTAAATCACATAATTCTAATGGCTTCATGTGTATATATATATTTTATTCATGAAATATTTTCTGGGGCCCTCCATCTTCCTACTTCTTTCTGGACTGTTTTACTCTTTCTTGGCCTTCTTTTTACTGCTTTCCTTTAAATTTCTTTTATCTTTTATCTGTCCTGTGTTGGAGCTTCTGTAGCCTGGATCCTGTCTTTCTCTTTCTTGGTTTATTATCTCATTTTGATGAAGTGCAGCTTATAGTAACTTCCTGAAAACAGGTGTATGAAAGATAGTTTGCATGTCTGAAAAAGTCTTTATGCTTTTTATTTGATTGCTGGCTTAACTGGATTTAGAATTGTAAGTTGAAAATAATTTTTCCTTATCATTTTTAACACATTCTTCCATTGTTTTCTAGCTTCCTCAATATTGAGAAGTTAGTATCATTCTGATTCTTGGTTCTTTGTGGTCTATTTTTCCCTCTGCAAGCTTTTGGGATCTTCTCTTAACTCACCCATCTCAGGAACTGAGAAATTTTGTGATCATGTGCCTAGGCTTGAGTCTTTTTTCATTCACTGTGTTGCATACATGTCAGGCCCTTTTAATCTGGTAACTCATTTCTTCAGTTTTGAGAAATTTTCTTGTATTATTTATCTAATGATTTTCTCTCCGTTTTCTCTGCTCCTTTTTTCCCCCTACAACTATTAGTTGAATATTGGACCTCCAAGATTTTCTAGTTCAAAGTTGTCTTTTTTGCCCATGTGTTTCTCTTTCTTTGTTCTCTTTTCTGAATTTCTTTAACCATTTCAATGAATTTTAAAATTTCTGTTATTGAGTTTTTTCTTGTTTTGTTTAATAAAAAGATAACTTTGAGAAATAGTACAATTAACGGCCAGTAGGAAGTAATGTGCTATTAGGTTACACCACTTGACTTCTGACATCAGATCACTTGTTATTTAATTGGGAAGCCATACATATATTCTGTGATTATCCCAAACTCAGACTCTTTATCTCAATATTCAATGCAGCAAAGATTATGTCCTGTTTGGTAAGATAACATAAAATAATTAGAGTAGGTGCAATTTGAAGGAAAATATACATGTGGAGAATGCAACAACTAGTTTTGCGAGGCACTTTTGCTATGGATTATATAAAGTAACAGAATCTTTTTGGTGTAATTTCACAGGATGATTTTTCAGGATTGTCACCATACGAAAAGAAGAGGCTGAAGAACATATCAGAAAATGCAAACTTTTTTGCTTCTCTTCAGTTGTCTGAGGTTTGTGTGGAGTTTCTAATTAAAACTGAGATACTATTCCTCTTGCCAGTAGGTTGATAAAATACTCATAGTATCAGGTTTCATAGTGTCAAATGAGGGAGGGTAAAGCTAGGAGCAAGATTTTCACTTAATAGAAAGAGGTTACCATATTTTATTGATTCCAAGACATTTTTTTTTGAAATTGGCATATTAAAACTATAACTGGCAGCTTCCCCTCACCCCTTTTTTGGTAGTACATAAGATAATGGTGTCTTATGAATAGTTGTCTTGGATTCAAAGAAACAGGGTATGTTCCAAGAGGTTGCTTTAACTAAAGGTTAAAGGTGAAGTGGGAGGGATGGGTTAAGGGATGTGTGGTAGAGGAGAGAGAGGACGGCTTTTTATTTTAAACTTTAAGAATAGATGCGAGGAACTTTCCTGGAAGTCCCATGGTTAAGATTCCGAGCTTCCATTGCAGGGGGTGCAGGTTCAATCCCTGGTCAGGGAACTAAGATCCCTTATGCAGTGTGGCAAGGCCAAAAAAAAAAAAAAAAAGAATATATGGGAGTATGCTTTGTATAGGAAACTTTAAGGATAAGTGGCCAGAAGTATGCTAATGTTTTATAATCATTATTACTAAAGGTATAATTTACACTGAAGGTCTTCACACTGGGGTAAAATTTCTATGTATGAGAGAATAGCTGTTTAGGAGGGTATGTGATGTTTTCCCCCAAAATACATTAAATCCTTGGCTTTATTAAATAACTATTTGGTTTCTCTGAATACCAGATTCCTAAATATTCAGTGTGTATTTGCATCTTGAGGGGAGGGAGGGTGAGTTAATATAAGGGACTAAATTGTTGAGTCACTAACAGTTGAAAATTCATAATTTAGACAAAAGTATCCCTGATTTTGATTTTAGTTAACAGAAATTCTGATTTGATTTGTGGAAGTATAACCTGCAACTTTTCTGGAAAACACCAAAGTAGGATTGCCTGTAGTAGAATTTAAACTTTTAAATTTGTAGTATATTTGATAAATGTTTAATGTTTAATGATGTAAACTTGTTAGCAACTTGGTCCAAGGTATCAGAATGTCAGTACATTAGATAGTATTATATACTTGTCTTTATTATTGATAGTGTATTTGCCTCACGTCTACTAGAAGAACAGGTATCATATCTCACGGTTCTTTAGTTGCTATATAGATCTTGGTTTAGTGTGGAAACAGTAGCAGATACCTAATATTTTAGAAGGTAAGCTATGTAGTTATAAGATAGTGTTTTTTTACATGTGTATGTTTTGTGTATTTTGCAGTCAGCTGCAAGACTCCGTGAAATGATAAAGAAGAGACAGCCTCCTGAATCCAAAAGGTAAAAGATTTGGTTTACATTTCCTGTACCATGATATATTGCTGAGTTGTTTTATAATTTGAAAAACTGGTTCAACATAGTAAAATAAATAGCAGATCAGAAACTCTGTAATTTAATCTTAATCCTTTATAGGAACTCTGAGGGAATGCTACCTTTTAATAACTGTAGAGTTCTCATCTTCATCAAAGGACTATACAGGAAATAGAATCTTGAGAGCTGAATTTTGTTTATATTTATTACTGCTGCTAATGGAGGGAAATCTTTATTACCACTAAATTGTTCTTATTTTTGCCTGAGAAACTGTTCTTAAAGATTCTTCTACTTTATTTTTCTGGCTATCTTTTTGCTTCTCAATTTGTTTTTTCTTTCCCATTCCTAGAATAAAGGAAGGAAATGAGCATTTGTTGCACATCTGTGAAATACAGTGCAGTGACCTAAAATTTTTATACTGCATTATCTCATTTATTTCTGGCAAAAATTTTGTGGGATAGAAAACAGGCTCAAAGAGGTAAAGTACTGATAATTTGCTCAAGGTCAAAGTAGTTCTTAAGTGGAAGCTTCAGGATTTGAACTCCAGGATTCCTTAGGTTAAGTTCTCTCCTCTTCATTTTAGCAGGGCTTATGTATAAGAGAAGAAACTGAAAATCTTGGCATCAGTAGACCATTTTTTTAGTGCTAGATGCTAATGAAATGTAGCATCATTTAATTGGTTTGATTCTCATGCAGGTTAGCTAGCTTGAGAAAAGCTAAACCTTTAATTATGACCAGGTATCCGCGAGTGTGGAAAATTGTTACAGGAGGAACATCATTAACACTGGAAGATAATAGCACCGGTTCTGTCGTCAATTGGTCATTAGCTTATATTTGCATATTTTTTATTAGCAAAGATTTTTTTTTTTTTGCGGTACGGGGGCCTCTCACTGCTGTGGCGTCTCCTGCCGCGGAGCACAGGCTCCGGACGCGCAGGCTCAGCGGCCATGGCTCACGGGCCCAGCCGCTCCATGGCATGTGGGACCCTCCCGGACCGGGGCACGAACTCATGTCCCCTGCATCGGCAGGCGGACTCTCAACCACTGCACCACCAGGGAAGCCTTATTAGCAAAGATTAATGGTGTTTTTCTCACCTAAGTCACAGAATTCCAGCACTTAGTAGTTGTATAAGTATTAGTATCCAGTAGATAGAGCAGAAGTTATGTAATATAGAGGAAAGAGCATAGCTTTTGAAATTTGGCAAACATGATTTCAAGTTTCAATTCAGCAACTTATAGCTATGGTATTAACTTTGGACAATTTATGTAATTTTCTTTCCTTATCTGTAAAGTTGGCATTATGCCAATCTGGAGGGGTTTAAGTTTTTAAAAATTACTAAATATATTATACATACAAAGAAGTACATGTGAAGTATTTTTTTATTAATCAATTTATTTTTAAAAAAAATTATTATTTATTTTTGGCTGCATTGGGTCTGCGTTGCTGTGGGTGTGGGCTTTCTCTAGTTGCAGCGAGCAGGGGCTACTCTTTGTTGTGGTGCACGGGCTTCTCATTGCAGTGGGTTCTCTTGTTGTGGAGCACTGGCTCTAGGCACACGGGCTTCAGTAGTTGTGGCAAGTGGGCTCTAGAGTGCAGGCTCAGTAGTTGTGGCACATGGGCTTAGTTGCTCCGTGGCATGTGGGATCTTCCCAGACCAGGGATCGAACCTGTGTCCCCTGTATTGGCAGGTGGATTCTTAATCACTGTGCCACCAGGGAAGTCCCCACATATGAAGTATTTGTATAGTTGAAAAAATAATAGTAATTCAAGCACCCATCCATGTACTTGCCATCCAGGTCAATAGAAATTTATAGTACCTCTTAAGGCCCTCCCTCCAGATAACAGTCATTATGTGAATTCTTATTTATTTATTTATTTGGCTGTGTGGGGTCTTAGTTGTGGCACACGGGATCTTTCGTTGCAGTGCGTGGGCTTCTCTGTAGTTGCGGTGCGTGGACTCTAGAGCATGCGGGCTTAGTAGCCCCGCAGCATGTGGGATCTTCGTTCCCTGACCAAGGATCGAACCCGCATCCCCTGCATTGGAAGGCTGATTCTTAACCACGGGACTGTCAAGGAAGTCCATTATGCTGAATTCTGTGATAATCACTCCTTGCATTTATTTATAGTTTTACCACCTGTGAATGTATAGTTAAACAGTATTTTGCTTATTTTGTCCTGTTTTTTATATTGACATATAATGTGCCCTTTTTATATTCTGTGATTTTATTTTGCTCATTTTTATATCTTTATGTTTTAAAATTCATTCATGTTGATGTGTACAGCTTTACTTCATCATGTGTTTTCTTCTGTATGAATGTGCTATGTTGATGGACAGTTGAATTGTTTCTTTTGTCAATATCTCACTGTTTTGCTTATTATGGCTTTAAAGTAAGTTTTGACATTGGGTAGTCAGTCCTCTAACTTTGTTCTTCTTAAATATTGTGTTAGTTCTTCTGTGTCTTTTGCCTCCCTGTATAAACTGTAGAATCAGTTTGTCAATATCTGCAAAATAACTTGCTGGGATTTTGATTGGGATTGCTTTGAATCTATAGATTAAGTTGGGAAGAACTGACATCTTGACAATATGTCTTCTTGTCAAAGAACATGGATAATCTCTCCATTTATTTAGTTCTATGATTTCTATCATCAGAGTTTTGTAGTTTTCCTCATATAAATCTTATAAATATTTTCTTAGATTTATGCCGAAGTGGTTTTTTTTTTGCTTTATAATTTAAATGGGTTGTATTTTAAATTTCAAATTTCACTTGTTTCTTGCTGGTATATAGGAAATCAGTTGACTTTTGTATATTAACCTGGTATTCTACAACCTTGCTATAATCACTTATTACTTCCAGGAATATTTTTATCCATTCTTTAGAATTTTCTAAATAGACTATCATGTCATTTGTGAACAAATACAGTTTTATTTCTTTCTTCCCAATCTTTATACCATTTATTTCCTTTTCTTCTATTATTGCATTAGCTAGAACTTTCAGCACAGTGCGATTTTTTTTTTGTTGTTAATTAATTAATTAATTAATTTTTGGCTGTGTTGGGTCTTCGTTGCTGCGCGCAGGCTTTCTCTAGTTGCGGCGAGAGGGGGTTACTCTTCCTTGTGATATGCGGGCTTCTCATTGCGGTGGCTTCTCTTGTTGTGGAGCACGGGCTCTAGGTGCACAGGCTTCAGTAGTTGTGGAATGTGGTCTCAGTAGTTGTGGCTCGCGGGCTCTAGAGTGCAGGCTCAGTAGTTGTGGCGCATGGGCTTAGTTGCTCCGCGGCATGTGGGATCTTCCTGGACCAGGGCTCGAACCTATGTCCCATGCATTGGCAGGTGGATTCTCAACCACTGCGCTACAAGGGAAGTCCGACAGTATTGGTAAGGAGTGCTGAGAGAGGACATTCTTGCCTTGTACCTGATCTCAGTGGGAAAGCTTGGCATTTCTCACCACTAAATATTATGTTAGCTATAGGGTTTTTTGTAGATTTTATTTCGTTGAGAAAGTTCCCCTCTATTTTCAGTTTACTGAGAATTTTTATTCTGAATGGGTGCTGGGATTTCCCAAATGCTTTTCCTGCATTTATTGATAAGATCATGCAATTTTTTTTCTCAGCCTGTTGATGGGTGGATTACATTAATTGATTTTTGTGTGTTGAGCTAGTGTTGCATACCTGGGATATATTCCAGTTGGTTGTGGTTTATAATACATTTTATGCATTGTTGGATTCAATTTACTAATATTCTGTTGAGGTTTTTTGCATCTCGGCTCATGAGAGATATTGATCTATAGTTTTCTGTTCTTGTAATGTCTGTCTGGTTTTGATATCACAGTAATGTTAGCCTCATAGAATGAGTTAGGTAGTATTCCCTCTGCTTCTGTCCTCTGAAAAAGATTGTAGAGAATTGGTTTAATTTTTCCCTTCAATGTGTGGTAGAACTCACTAGTGCACCCGTATCAGCCTGATGCTTTCTGTTTTGGAAGGTTATTAATTACTAGTTCAATTTCTTTAATAAATACAGGCCTTTTCAAATTGTTTCTTGTATGAGTTTTGGCAAAGTGTATGTTTCAAGGAATTGGTCCATTTTATCTAGGTTTTCAAATATGTGGGCATTGAGTTGTTCATATTATTCCTTTATTACCTTTTTAATGTCCATAGGATCTGTAGTGAGTCCCCTCTTTTATTTTTTAAATTGGAGTATAATTGCTTTACAATGTTGTGTTAGTTTCTGCTGTACAACGAAGTGAATCAACTATATGTACACATATATTCCCTCCCTCTTGGACCTCCCTCCCACCCCCCACCTCCCCATCCCACCCATCTAGGTCATCACAGAGCACCAAGCTTAGTTCCCTGTGCTATTCATCAGGTTCCCACTAGCTATCTGTTTTACACATTGTAGTGTATATATGTCAATCCTAATCTCCCAGTTCATCCCACCCTCCCCCCCACCCCCGCCACATCCACATGTTCGTTCTCTACGTCTGCGTCACTATTCCTGCCCTGGAAATAGGTTCATCTGTAGCATTTTTCTATATTCCACATTTATGCATTAATATATGATATTTGTTTTTCTCTGACTTACTTCACTCTGTATGACAGACTCTAGGTCCATCCACATCTCTACAAATGACCCAATTTTGTTCCTTTTTATGGTTGAGTAATATTCCATTGTATATATGTACCACATCTTCTTTATCCACTCATCTGTCATTGGACATTTAGGTTGTTTTCATGTCTTGGCTGTTGTAAATAGTGCTGCAGTGAACATTGGGGTACATGTGTCATTTTGAATTATGGTTTTCTCAGGGTATATGCCCAGTAGGGGGATTGTTGGGTCATATGGTAGTTCTGTTTTTAGTTTTTTAAGGAAGCTCCATACTGTTCTCCATAGTGGCTGTATCAATTTACATTCTCACCAACAGTTCAAGAAGGTTCCCTTTTCTCTACACCCTCTCCAGCATTTATTGTTT